TGAAAAACAAGCCGTAAGAAGCCAAAAGCACAAAGGGTATTTAAAACTTCCATGGAAGAAAATAATCAGTAACTACCAAATGACAGCAAATGAAAAACGCCCATTGCCAAATTGAAAACAAAATCCGGTTTGTGAAATAAGCATTTTTTATCAATTCACCAACTGGTCCTTACAACTATGTAGGGTTAGTTGGGTTCGTCGATCTGGTTCTGATGGCATCAAACTAAGTACAGAACGTATGCTGATATTGTTTACCGAATGCTCATCTCGATTAGCTCATTGGTGTGTCCCCCAAGGGGTGCGGTGGGGTGGGTTTCATCTGAGGCTACGACAAGACTAGAGCCCGAACGAACTGCTTTTTGGTCGCATAGGGAGGAGGGGGGATTCGATGTTTGGATAGGTAACACCTCGGCTGTGCATAGAATCCTAAACCGCGGTCGTTTTGGCAGAGACGATAGCGTGCGGTAAGTGGTGCGGAAAGCCTGATCAACGTTAATAGTGTGCCGTGTTTCCAGTATATGTTGACAGATAGCACTTTTCGCCGTTCTAGTCTCATCGTGTCTCAACAAGCCGGAGTGGTGTTCACGTATCCTCTTTGATGCCTGCCTAAATAACCCTATATAATTGTAATGGCCAGTTGATGGATTTATCGAAAAACAGCTCGTTTCGCCCACCGGATTTCGTTCTCAACTAACAAATTGCCTCATAAGTTGACCAAATGGAAAAATGTGAGAATTCCGCTCATAAGAAATCTAACGAGACATCACCTACTCAATCTACTAGCCGTTCCCGCGCAAAAAGCCGATTCAATTATCTTTGCTTATATTCCCGTATAAACATCTATCGCAATTAAGCGGTACCATATCTGACTGGCATTTTAACTGACAAGAAAATCCCAAAGGAACTAACTAAACATACAAAGGTGACCTTTCGTCCAAGTTTAATCCTTGTTGTATATTTTCTATTTAATTGTAAAGTTAGATGCATTGTTTTGGCTGAAATGTAGACATAGTTGTCTACACAAATCATGCAAACTGATAGACCCTGAAGAAAGAAACCGACCCGAATTAAGTAGCCAACAGGTGATGAGAACAATTCCTGCTAACAACTTTAGTGCGGTCAGCAGTAGATGTGATCGACCCAGGATCCACAAGGAGCGATCGATGGCGACGCTTACCCCTCAACGCAGATCAAGCCTGTCATACAGCATCCCGCCACCAATCAACATCTCCCAGCGGCTGCCGTAACCACTTCACGGAACCACGCACTTGCTGCATGATTATCATGAAGAACGCTAAGAAACGATTCGTCCGTGATGGACGACAGCAATCCAAGATTTCAAAGCCGACGCATCCTCAGATAGGAAAGCCTTCATAGGATAGTGAAAGCACGCAGTAGACTGCGCTTTTCAATTACACAGTTGTTTGTGGAATGACGGTAGCTCAGCAAAAAGGTGGACATCGAATGCGCAAGTGCTGGACGGACCGAAACAGGTGGCGGAAAATGACCTATATAACTCAAAGGTTACGAGACCTTAAATCAGTGTATGGAAGACATCCGTTCATTGCAGACCACAGATGATAACATGTCAAAATGAAGCGAGCGGGTTGACAGCAGGATAGTCCGTCGTGTATTAACTTTAACTTCCATGAATAGACTTCGCGTTAGTGAAGATAATTCGCGCATGCTCTGGGGTGGAGAAAACCACATGATTCACAGAGAACTTCAAGGTACACAGTAATACAAAACATGCGGTACGACTGTTTTGGTCATGCTGTATCACTCAAATCCTTGAATTAAAAAAAAAGATTCGCTTCGCAACTTCCCAGCGCGAGAACAGAAACCCATTTTTTGTTAGGTTCAAAGTTGTATCACCCTCCTCACCCGCATCCTTATTTGAACCAAATCTTACACTACGGAATGTTATGACTTCCAATTGGGTATTTACCAACATGTCAATCAACTTCAAGTATGACAGCCCAACTAGCTGAAACAAAACAGTGTCGAATGGCTATTGGACGATTACACAATTAAACATCTAAATCGTAAAATAAATGAAAAAATCTCAAGTATTCTCACCTGAAGAGCATTCAGCATCAAATTCTGCAACTCCAACGCTTCGATCAGATCAGAGTTCCAGATTAGGCTTCGGTCTGTCACCTTCAAATCGAACATTTTGCTTGAATAAAGGTCGTACATTCGTTTGCAACCTTCTTGAAGAGTTGGTCCGTCACGGAAAACAGCAGCATAGTCTTGCATCGTCCTCTGCATTTCCAGACGTACCTGGAAACATAAAAGGGGTAAAACTTTGATTTTGTATTCGTGGCTATTGGCAAAACAATAGAGGGTAAAAAAGGTTAGCCTTCATTCCTAGTCCAAAGGTTTTACAGAAGATTGAGTCAAAATAAAATGCCAAACAGACTTCGATGCAAACAAACTGACAGTGATTCAACACCTTAGTTTGTTTGTGAATCACTACCAGTTCGTACAAGTGAAAGCAGCCTTTATCAACTAACTTCAAATGTTAGTTCCGAAAATGAACTTTAACGATGACAGCTCGAATTTACAGCTATTATAAAAACCCACGCAAAAGCGAGGCCAGTAAATCGTTTTGTTTAGTACGTGAGCAGACTTACAAATTGGCCTTTTCAAGTACGATAAAAGAAAATACGAGATGTGCAAGCGGATTGCTTACATCAGCCACCGGGTAGGAACCATTGGCATGGCGCAATTTATCCAGGTTTGCTATTGAAGCCTCCCCAGAGTCTGCCTTTAATTCGGGCCCTGGATCTCCGGGCTTGTGCTTTTCTGCAATGTCTAGTGCACAAGCACGGCCAAAGACGACCAAGTCCAACAAGGAATTCGCTCCAAGTCGATTAGCTCCGTGTACGGAAGCGCAAGCCGCTTCTCCAGCAGCATACAAACCGGGGATCAGTTTATCTTTCTTCGCCACGTGATCATAAGTAAGCACCTGAAAGGAAAAACAGTAGAGTTCGTGAAAACAGTACTCGGGTATTGATGCAATGGATGTATACCTGGACGAGTGGGACATGGATCTCAGCAACACGAAGGGGACTAGAGGTGGTAAAAACAGAAGGATAAATCTCATCCCCTGGGTACTCTCACAGGCAAGGATCCCGAAACCGGTCGTGATATATTGATCAAAATAATTATTATTATTGTTCTATATATCTTATTTTGATCAGTATATCACATCCGGTTTCGGGATCTTTGCCGCTCGTCACGTATGCGTGTTCGGTAACTTTTTATCTAGTCATAATTATACTGGAACTCTTGACATGAATCAGGCAACGCAAACTTTATTTGCAGTCCGGAGAATTGATTTTGAGACAAATAAGCCTCAAATAATCATTGCGATGATTCCCTGTTGGCTGTTGTAGGTTAAATGCAGAAAGATTCATCTTTTCTCTGACATCGAATCGGGCGGAGAAAATATATATACACACACTGCTCACATTGTGTTCTGGTGAACAGTGGGTGGCCTAATTTTCTAGCACTGGCGCTATTTAGATCCCAACACCCTAAATTCAATCCCGCTAACATCACTCCAATTCAGCTGTAAGCACGTCCGCTACTGCTTGGGTCGACAGTATACCTACCCCATTATAGTCCCAGATGCCAATCATCATCACCACCATACAGCGAAATACAGTGAAGCGAACTTCACCGATTGCTGCCAAACTTGCAATACATAAAAGGTTAATGGTAAAATTTAAGGTGAACAGGGATTGGATCTACTTTGAGTGAGGCAACGAAAGTGAACCTCAAAGTGCACAGAGTGCACAATCGAACAATGCATATATACCGTTTCAAGCATTCTGGCCTGATAAGAAATAACAAGAACGCCCCTGATGTTGGTTCGCTGCCATATCCTTCAGTGTCTCCAACCAACCAGTTGCGGGATCTTTCGGACTCCAACTTGGAAGGCGCGTGACACCTACCATACCTAACGGCCGTGTATTTCTTCAGGCCTCGTTTCATCTGCTGACCTCCGCTTAGTTTCTTCCAACCTGGAGCCGCAACCGTAAATAGGACGTGGTGGAGTAGATGACAACTGGGAATCCGCAATGCCGGTCCTAACCAGAAGAGCCGACCAACCTGAATTCGATGGGACAACGAATTCTCCATCGCATTATTAGCAAATACGCGACGGCTTAGCTCAGAGTCGCCTACATGCTTGTCCATCCAGCCCGCGCCAAACTACGTAAATATCGACATTCGAAGACTTCTAGACGAATGTCTCCCACGCGCAAAATGAAGGTTTTGCGACCTTCCAGTTTTAATGAAATCACGTTTCCATCCTGCTTACGCCGCTCGACTTTGGAAACGTGGCCGGTTAGTTCCTTGATTATGCTACTACCACTTGAGCAAGTAGGCAGCTACCACAGATTACGTTGGTTGGGGCATGTGTTACGCATGTCAACAAATAGGTTGCCACGGCGAGCGATGTTTTCCGAGGCAGGTAGCGGTTGGAAGGTCAAGAGTGGTCAACATTAGACATGGCATGAGGGTATGAAAACCCTCACCAGGAGTCACATAGGTCCCGTTGGTGGTCACCGATGGTTAGAGACACTGAATGATATGGCTGGGTCTCGCTCATGCACCTACTTATCATTCATTTAATACCAGTCTATATGAATTCCCTATCTTCCGCTTGAATTTGTTTTCAACGTTCCAATCTCCGTCGTGGTCTTTTATCCAAATGAGTGGCCAAAAGATATCAACCACAACCGGCGCACGAAAAAGCATGGTTAATGGTTGTAGAAACTGAAACTGAAATCAGTCATGCAATTACCCAAGTAAGAGGAACATTGGTCATAACTATTTCTTGACCATCAAGCATCAGAGTGCGGCGAAGAAGACAGCCAATCTTGTAGCATCACCATGCATTCTGAAGGTGCAAAGCACATACCGAATGGAATTACAGAACTTAAACGTCTGTGAAGAGTGCTTAGCACATCCTTCGTACAGGGGAACAGACGAACGATGCCATCGGTGTACTCCAAATTGCACAAATTTTCACCAGCTACCCAATCAATACCTACATTTTGGAGAACACCCAGCGCGTCCCCCACCCTTTCGCCTACGACGAAATTGAACAGGAACGGTGAGAGGCCACCCTTGACGAACGATTTACTTAGTTCATCATAGACTCTTACTCGACCAGAGTTTAGTACAGTGACCTCAGTAAGTTAACGTACTTCTGCGGCATTCCTTTCTGAAGAAGGTAACCCATTAGATTCACGCGTTCAACTGAGCCGAGGGCTTCTCTTATGTCGAAGAACACTGACATTGTTGGTCGACGCAACTCGAGGACCTGACGTAGAGTGAAGATTTGGTAAGGAAAGCTGTACAATTGGAAGGACACCAGCGACATGTCTCTAAAAGCACGAAACAAGCGAGCCTATTCTTTCTTTGACAATGCCCCACATTACTTGTTGTTTAAATCTTGGTAACCGGCGAATAGCTGATGGAACACCAGTGAAGTGGAGGCCGTTTATTAAGGTTAAGGCTTAAAAGATGAATGATAAATCGAAACAATTTTAGTGCCTTCCTTCAACTATGAATAGTCGAGTACGTGCTTAGAATAGTGCTCAAAGAATGAGTTGAACGAGGAAAGCACTGAGGCAAAATATCGCGCTACTCCCCTAATTCCAACCACGACGGGACCTTGACATGACATGATGGCCTGTCTGGATCCATAACCCTGTGATCCACACAGGCCTTTCACAGCCGCAGACCCAATTGTGCTTGAAAGGTTAATGGGTAGAAGCCAGACAACGATCAGTCTCATAAGTTCAGCTGATTGAGCAAGTTGTTTCCTTTGACTATCCTCTCTCGTCCCTGGAGAGGTCATTTCAGCATATAAACACGAGTAGCTTACCGATGGAAAAAACCCGTTAACTGGATGTAGGGCGGGATTTCCAAAGAAGAAAGGTCTTCGCATCCTATTGGGCACTCCCTAGCTAATAGGGTACTGTCCCGTCTATGTTCTGCATCTCACTGGAAACATGAGACTAGTCGACCCGACCGGGAGACCGCCAATCAATGCACCGGCGTGCAACACAAACAAAACCCAAAGGCGTTGAGTGATGGGTCCATAAAAACTCTCACTTGCAAGTTTGGGTAACGCTTCACTAGGTTTTAGATCAAAATTTTGAGTCAACGGCGTCGGACAGGGTTCTTTAAGAAAAATCACTTCGTCGGTTTAGCCTACTGTGACGTATGTCGACCAAAATTTCACGTAACAATTTGGAAAACCCTTTTTCATCTGTATAGTTTATCCTGTCGTCCCCAAATAAGACGTGAAGCTGCCTGTTTACGCCACACTTGTGACATCACTCAACGCTTAACTACTCGGTTAAATAACAAGAAGCTATGGGATTCAGAAAAACGAAGTTTTCGTCTTACTGAACGGCATTCAATGCCGTACATGGTCAAACAGACCAACAACCCTTGGAACGACAGCTAGCTCACACAGTCCATCCCACGTGCGTCAAACTACATGAGCATCGATAGTCAAAATAATCCAGTCGATGGATGCCTTTTACTCAAAAATTCACGGTCTCAACCACAAAGGAACGGACGGAACCGCAGCATAATATACACGCATTAAACTTGAGTGAAACGTCATGTTTACGTCAAATGTGTTGTTCGAGGTTTGGACATAAGAGTTCAGTTCAGTTCAGTTTGTGCAACCATTAACCACGCACCATCGTGCGCCGGTTTTGGTTGCTGTCTTTTGGCTGTCCATTTAGATGAAGAATAGTACAAAGGAAAGTTCAAAGTGGAGTCGAACAGAAAATGGAGAAGTTCAGTGGTCTAAGGTTGCGAAGAAATTGAGATGCACGAAGGCCACTAGTTGCCACATCCAGCCACATCACTCAGAGTCTCTAACCACCGGTTACGATCATCCCGGGGTCCCCAGCCAGGGAGCCTAACAGGACCTATGTGATCCAGTCTCCTGGTTAAGGTTTTCATACCCTCGTGCCAGGTATTAGCTTGACCACACTGGGCCTTTTTCCACTCGGTATCTGATTCGGCGAATATCGCTCGCCGTGGTAACCTCTCTGGTGACATGCGTAACAAAGGTCCCAACCAACGTANTAAGAGCGGATAGCTATAGAGGGGCAAAAGAATGTCCGGAAGTGGCAAACACCTAGTGAGCCTTGTGTGCACAACACTGATTTGGTGTAGGATTGTCTTTCCTGTTCAAAGTGTATGCCTGAGACCATTACGCGTTTTCCATCTTCAAAGTGTAAACTGCTACTGCAAGACTGGGTTGGTCCAGCACCCAGCCTCACTCTTATTGGAGAAGTAATAGAGCAGGTGGATAAGTTTTGTTATTTGGGCAGCTACATCTCAGCCGGTGGAGGCATCACGGATGAAGTGTCAGCTCGCATACAGAAGTCTCGGTTGGCACTTGCCAACTTAAAACATCTGTGGCGCCGTCACGAAATCTGGTTGCGTGAAGGGTGGTGTATGCCGCGGCAGTTCGATCAGTTCCGCTATACGGAACAGAAACTTGNTTGGCCATTAAGAAAACAGGATAAAGATGGACTGTCAATGGTTAAACACCGCTGTTTACGCAACACTGCACGAATGCGGTGCGACAGCCGGACGAGCAATGCTGTGGTTGGGCACAGTTTCAAGTATCCGCGATCGCCCACTGGGGCAAGTGATCGATCTGCATAGATTAAGTTGGTTGGGGCATGTGTTATGCATGTCACGAAACAGGTTGCCACAGTGAGCGATGATCGCCGAGGCAGATAGTGGGTGGGTTAAAACCAAGGGTGGTCAAGCTAAGACCTGGCACGAGGGCATGAAAACCCTAACCAGGAAACTCGGTCACATAGGTCTCGTTAGGCTCCCCGGATGGAGACTTCGGGATAATCGTAACCGATGGTTACAGACGCTGAGTGTTATGGCTGTCTGACACAGTGGCGTTCGTGTATCTTCTCAATTTCTTTGCAGCCATAGTTTACTGCATTTCACAATTTTTTCTTTGACTCTATTTTTAACCTTTTCCTTCTACTGTTCATCCAAAAGACAGCAACCGAAACCGGCGCACAAGTGTGTGGTTAATGGATGTACAAACTGAAACTGATAACGCCTGCAATGAACTGCCACCGCTAGCTTGAACTTGCATGCAACCTGGATTCTCACTCGAAAGAAAACTTGAGCAATCTAGGTCAGAAGAGGGAGCACAGTGATCCCATCTTGGCATAAGAGCTGATCTATTTCTGAAACTACCACACATTTGGAAGTTAACAGGACAACCCTAACACGGATGGCAATGAAATCCTCAGACGTAACAAGGCTAGGGTCTCGAGTTCGGCTTTGTACAGTGAATGAGTCAGATGAACTTCGGAACATGCATCTTGTGATAGGGGGCGGCTAACATGCACGTCAGGCCTGTTGTCATCTGAACGATTAGCGAAGACAACGTAAAACAAGCGGGAATAAACAAAACAGAAACACTCGAAAGCGAAAACTCACTTGTCCCTTATAATTGGTTGGGATACCACCCATGTTATAATGCACTGTTGGCAAGACTGGAATGGGTTCTCGAGTAACATCCACGCCTGCGAAAATTTTTGCAGTTTCGGATATTCCGGGTAGACGAGAGAAAAGTTGTTCTGCAGGGAGGTGGGACAATTGCAGATAAATGTGATCTTTTCTAGGACCGACTCCCCGTCCTTCACGAATCTCAATGGTCATCGACCGTGAGACCACATCGCGGGATGCCAAGTCCTTCGCATTGGGCGCATATCGTTCCATAAATCGCTCGCCTTGACTATTGACCAAATAACCACCTTCACCACGACAACCCTCAGTGATTAGACACCCAGCACCATAAATTCCTATCGTATATGTGAGTTGCACCAACCACTACTTACCAGTTGGATGAAATTGTACAAACTCCATGTCTTCATTTGGTAGACCAGCACGCGTGATCATGGCAGTACCATCACCAGTGCAGGTGTGGGCAGATGTACACGAGAAGTAGGTCCTGCCATAACCCCTGTACAGTATATAGGATTATTCTAATCTGATTTACCCTGTGGCTAGGACAGTATTCTTAGCACGAAATCTGTGAATAGTTCCATCCTCGAGACAAACTGCAATAACGCCACGGCACACACCATTCTCCATCAACAAGTCCAAAGCAAAGTACTCAATAAAGTAGGTTGTGTCATATCTAAGTGACCTTCCATACAAAGTGTGAAGAAGAGAGTGGCCGGTTCGGTCGGCGACGGCGCAGCACCGGTGAGCCTGGCCTCCGCGCCNGCGCCCATAATCGATACTCTGTCCGCCAAAAGCCCGCTGATATATCTTCCCATTTTCCAACCGACTGAAGGGCATACCATAATTTTCAAGCTCAATAACAGCTTTTGGTGCCTCTTCGCACATGTAATGAATGGCATCTTGGTCGCCAAGCCAGTCGGACCCTTTCACGGTATCATACANCATACATGTGGTAACGCCAGTCATCCTTCTCCATATTTCCCAAAGCAGCATTAATTCCACCCTGAGCTGCAACTGTATGGGAGCGGGTAGGAAATAATTTGGTAATGCAGGCAGTTTTGAAGCCTTCATTGGCTAACCCAAATGCTGCTCGTAAGCCAGCACCACCGGCTCCAACGACAACGGCATCGAAGGTGTGGTCCACAACCGTATAGTCCTTTGAGAAGCTGCTGGCATTGCGACTTGCAAGGGCAAGCTTCGACGCATGCTTCAGCAACAGACTGCCCCGAAGCCCAGACGAAAGGCGAAGAGCGATAGACATGGCGAAGCGGTTTGACCGCAGGACACTCGATGACCTTGAGGACGATTCAAATGTTGAGAGGCATCTCCCACAAAGATCAAATGGTTACAGCTAGGTAAGTTGCTCGTTCATCAATTTATATGATGTTCCCAATCTTTTCGACTGTGCTTCTCAGATCGAAAAATACACTGGAATCCTAATGTGCCGTGACAAATTATTGCGTTACATTTGTAGCGTTTCTTCAACCGACAGTTTAGCAACGGCAGTTTTCTTTTCTTACCTCTTGTTT